ATCTCATGGTGTACCAGTCCCTTGGACTAAATGTTTCCATGTGTCTTTGGTTTTCTTCACTATTCTTTGCTCTGGATGAGGAGAGACCCATCATTGCTTCTACATGGCTGCTTGCAAGCTTTTAAGATTGCAGTTGCTACTCGCCAAAGTAGGATGTGGAACAATGTTTCTGTGTAGTCTGTTATGCCAGTTGAGCTTGCTGTCCCCTGTGACCATGGTCCTGAGCCCACAGGTCCAACTATTCCCTCTCTTCAGGTAGCTGGCCGTGGCCGAGAAGTGACTACAACCTTGTCCCTTGTCAGCTCTACTATATACCTGAAAATTCTTACAGAACATACAAATACACTTTTAGAAGCATTGTCTGCCAACCCTCTACATAGTCATGGTGAACATGCCTTTCTTTTACAATAAGAAAATCTGTGCTTAGAAATATTAAACAAAGTCTTGCCTGTTTTAGGAATGTTGCTCATTTAGAATCCTGAATATGCTTGAAGTAATTTCACCAGTAAAATAAATATAAAGTAATCAGTCTTTAGAATTCTGGAGGAAGTCCTAAAGTTTTAACCAGACATTTTTCTTTAAGAATCTGCAGTCTGAAAAAAAAAAAAAAAAAAGAAGGCGGGGACCAGGTTTGCTGGTCCAATGGAGCCTGGTGTAACCACTGAGACTATGGCCCCTAGCTGCCCTTCAGGTCTGGAATTGAACCCACACCTGTGGTTTCCAGCCAAACAAGGTACAGGCATGTGAGTTAAACATTTACCTCAAGTAGACACACACCCTGGAGAGAACAATCATGGGAGAAGGAAGGGCTGCTTATGCACAGGGAGATAGCTCAGGGTGCAGAAGAGTATGAAGGGATGGACACTGGGAGGAGGTAACTATGGGGAGGAAGTGGGAGGGGAGCTGCTGCGTTGTAAATTTTGGTCAATGACATGAGACAAAGTATATGTGAAGTGCTGTATGAAAAGTGAATTTACTCTGTAAATCTTCACCCAAATCCTAATTAAAAAAAAAAAGAAAAGAAAGAGTGCATGGGAAATAAAATTGTTTACTGCTTGCAAAAAAAAAAAAGAGTCTGCAGTCTGGACATCTTATCTATTTCTTCCTCTCCGTCCTCAGTAGCAGCACTGACCTTCAGCTCCCTAGCATGAATTGTCTCCACCAAATTCCAATCACAAACGTTATAGAAGCTGTTTGCATGGCATAGGTGCACATATTAGGAAAGAGGGCTTGGTGAGAAGAAGTAGGATATTGGACCCAGAACATATTAGATCTTTTCTTTTCAGCCTCTGATGTCATGAATAGAAAATGAATGGAAGGTGTGTGATCTTGTGTTCTAAACCCCCCTCAAACACACCTTCCCGTAGGTGCTTCTTTCCTTGAGTTAGGAGACCTTTCAGTAAGACCCACCTTCAGAAAGCTTTAATAGGAGGCATGACTTACAGGTGTCTTTAATTTAAAGCCGTGTTTGTCAGCATTTGTCCTAGACTCTATTCTTATTTTTATGTGTGTCTGCAGAAAAGGAGATTAATTTTAGTTTTTAGGATGAAGTGAAGGGGAGTTTTTGTGAAACAGGCAAGCATGGGAAGAGTTAAGTGTTTTCTCTCTTAATATATTAGTCTTCTCTCCTGGCATTTCTCATTAATAAATTGGATTACTTCTTCCCTTTTATGTTCAAGATAGTTAGAAAATACTTCCTAACCATTCACCCCAAATAAGGATTATTTTAAAATATATATACACAGACCACCAGTTTGTTTAATTTAAAAACTGTTGTTGTTGTTGTTCGTTGCCATCTAGTTGATTCCAATTTATGGCAGCACCGCTGTGTGGAGTGGAGCGGCTCCACAGGGTTGTCAAGGCTGTGACCTCTCAGCAACAGAGCACCAGGCCTGTCTTCTGAGGGACCTCTGGGTGGGTTTGAACTACCAGCCTTTCAGCTAGTCATCAAGCCTTAATCGTTTGTCCCACCCAGAGACTCCAAAAAGTTAGATGTCATTTGAGAAACATGAAAATATGGCACACAAAACCTGGCACATATTAAGTGTTTAATAAACATTAGATCCCATCTCCTTTTCTTCTGCAAGTGATATGCAAAGGATCATAGATAATGAAAGCAGAGGTTTAGCCCTAAAGAGGATCATGTCCAGTGACAGAAAAAGTCATCTGAAATGAGTAAACCTTGGAGTTTGAGGCTGATCAGTGTGGCCTTTAAATATCAGCATATGAAAGAGGAAGAGGTATGCGGGCAAGTTTAGCTGTTTTTGTTTATAACAAAAAGTATCTGAAACTATATCCAAGAATTTAGTGGTTAAGAGTACTTTAGCTTAGAGAAATATCAAAAATAAGACTATGTGGAGAGAAATATTTACTTACAATCTGTTTACTAAAGCATATGTCTAATGTCTTTGCTCTCTTCTTATGATTCTTCCAGAAATTACTCCCTGCTGTTTTCCGGAGAAAGCTTGAGTTTCTTTTGTTGTCAGAAGACCTTCAAAGTGATATTCCAGAGGACGTCCTCAAGGTGAGAGAGGGCCCTGGAGACATCTGCCCAGGATTAAAATCATTCAACAAGCTCAATTTCCAGGGACCTGGCAGAGTCAGGTCCCGTAGATATTGACTGCACTTTGTTCTTAGGCAAGATCAGGCTAGGTAGAGGCTTCTCTGAGCGGAGGTTAGACTTAGGATAAATTTATCTGATTTTGAAATTCTTAGAAGTCGATTGTCCAGAAGTACTAAGTGTAGTTGGGGATTAAAGATTTTTCTTTTTTTTTTTTTTTTTTTTCCCCTGTTCACATAGAAGGAATGCATGGCTTGATTTAAACTAAGTATTTGAATTTTTTACCAGTAGATGGTAGGAAACTAATATTTGTTGAATGCTCCTCTATAATCCTCATAGCAACCATCTAGGGTAGATTCAAACTGAGTCTTTAACTCTATGGTGTATACCAGTTATTACTTTAGTGCCTGAGGTATGCTATGAGGTTCAGTGCCTATTTTCTTCATGACCCTGCCACTCATTGATTAAAGACGTTTATGATAGGATAAGATAGGAACTGTCACTTGTCACAGGGAAGCATGGTCTTGTGATCCATCTCTGAGGCAATTAGTGGAGAGACATTCCTGAGCAAAAGCACAGTATGTAACCTACTTCCCTATACCCTTTCTTCCCCACCCTGCAAATGAAGTCTAGGCTTAGAGATTTATGCCTTTAAGGAATTTACAGTCTAGGGGGGAAGGAAGGACTATAATTAGGTACTAAACCATAAACCAAAAACCAAACCCACTGCCATCAAGTCAATTCTGACTCATACTAAACCACAGGGGACTGATTATAAGTACACTAAAAGCTCAGGAAGGAGAGTTGTGTGGGTTGGAAGTGTTGGAGAAGGTTTGTGGAAGAGTTAGGAATGAACCAGACCTTAAAGTAAGGAGCCCTGGTGGTGTAGTGCCTAAAGCATTTGACTCCTAACCAGAAGGTTGTAGGTTCAAAACCACCAGCCACTCTGGAGAAGGAAGACTGGGCAATCTACTTCCATAGGGATTTACTGCCTCAGAAATCCAAAGGGGGTCACTATATGTTGGAATCAACTCAGTGGCAGTGAGTTTCGTTTCTTTGGTTTAGACCTTAAAGTATGGCTAAATCTTTGATTTAAATCAGAAGTTAAAATTTGGTATACAAAGTTCTAAAAACAAATGAATTCAGATGCCCTTAGATGGGCATGGTATTTTATGCCCGTTTGTTACTTGCCTGGTCTATGAGTTTATATTCTCTGATTTAGACCAACACTATATTTTGGAGGCTGTGGAGTGAGACTAGCTTGAATCTGGAGGCCTTGGGCAATTAAATGAGTTAATCTCTCTTTGCCTTAGTTTTCTCATCTGTAAAATGGGGATAATAGTACCATCTTCATCTTAAGGTTATTATAATGATTCATTGCATTTTTCTGTGCAAAGAGCCTAGTACAGTGTCTAGCACATAGTAACTATTACAGAAGTAACTGCTGCTATTAAATATGTAAGCTAAAAAAGAGGAAAACATCGAGGCATACAAGGGATAATATTCTAGACATGCTCACCGCTATCCCTCTTTTTATCCTTTATTTAGGAGCTATATGAGGTCTTAGCACAAGACGCAGTAGACCCTGTGCCTGATGGAAATAGAAGATGGGAGAACTGGTCCCCTCGGCTCAGCTCAGAAGCTGTCTCTGTGCTCTGGAATCTTCTGAGGCAGGCTCCCCAGCCGGCGCAGGCCCTGCTAGAGCTTCTGCTCAGAGAGGAGGATGGTACCAGCCTCTGTGGCTCTCCTCTGCAAAAGACACTGGTGGACCTCATCCAAAAGGCACTGAAGGCTTTGCAGGGCCCTGATGCTGGGCCCCCTGGGGTAGCAGATGCCATCTACGGAGCCCTGCGGACTCTGCGTTGCCCTGCAGAGCCCATCGAGGTTGAGTTGCGCCTCCTGTGTGAAGAACTGCTGGAGGCCTGCAGGACTGAAGGGAGTCCCCTGCAGGAGGAGAGGCTGCTGGGCTGCTTGCTGCACAAGGCTGGACGAGGCCTGCTATCCCTGTACGGCCATACCTATGCAGAGAAGGCCACAGAAAAGCCACTGAGGGCTACATCCTCAGGAAAAGGTACATTCCCTTTCCTGCTTCTCCTTGCATTTAGGGGTTGTCTTAGTTTCCTAGTGCTGCTATAAGAAATACCACAAGTGGTGGCTTTGAAAAACAGAAATTTATTTTCTCACAGTTTCCAACCATAAAACCAAACCCACTGCCATCGAGTCAATTCCAACTCAGTGACTCTGTAGGAGAGAGTAGAACTGTCCCCATAGGGTTCCCAACGTTGTACATCTTTAAGAAAGCAGACTGACTCATCTTTCTCCCACACAGCAGCTGGTGGGTTCGAACTGCTGATCTTTTGGTTAGCAGATGACTGCTTTAACCACTGTGGCACCAGAGCTCCTTCCCACAGTTTGGGAGGCTAGAGTTTCAAATCCAGGGCACTGGCTAGAGAGGAAGGCTCTGTCAACTTTAGGGGAAGGCCCTTGTCTTTCAGCTACTGTGGCCCTCAGATCCTTGGTGATCTTCATGTGGCATCTGTCTTCCCCCATTTATGCTTGTGTGTCTAATCTGCTCTTTTTATAACTCAGAAGGTATTAGGTTTAGGATGTACCCTACGGTGCTGTGTCTCATTAACAGTACAAATAAAACCCTATTGCCAAATAGGATTACATCCATGGGTATAGGGTTAGGATTCCAATACATATTTTGGGGGTAACAAGTTCAATCCATAGTAAGGATCTAATATATCCTAATTCCAATATACTCAGCCTCTCTGAAGTTTCTCTGGGCCAGTACCCTCCAGAAAATCTAATAGGAAAGGCTAAGCAAAAATGGGAAAGATATTTTTTGTGAAAGCACAGACAATATAGTCTAAGATGGTTGTTGTTTGTTGCTGTCTAATCAGTTCTGATTCATGGCAACCCCATGTGTACAGAGTTGAACTGCTCCATAGGGTTTTCTAGGCTGTGACCTTTCAGAAGCAGGTCACCAGGCCTGTCTTCCAAGATGCCTTTGGGTGGGTTCGAACTGCCCACCTTTCATTAGTAGTCTAGCACATACCATTTGTGCAAAGATGGTGGTGATGGGAAAAGAGGTAATAGCAATAGCAGGCAAGAGCTATCTAGAAGCTACTAAGTGAAGCAAAGAATCTTTAAGATAGAAGTGTAGAAAACCTGGTTTAAGTTTTTTGAAGCACAAACTCGCCTCAGCTGGTTTTTTAAATGGGTTCTAGCTTAGGAACGAAGAGCTTCTGGTTTACCAGTAACCCCACCTGGTTTGATTTTCAGTCTCACCAGATCATCTGGATCCCGAGCGGGCAATGCTAGCCCTGTTTTCCAATCCCGACCCAGCCCAGGCTTGGAAAGTGGCTTATTTCTACTCCCTGAGCAACAGCAAGCACTTCCTCGAGCAGATCCTGGTAAAGCAGCCTCATTATTCTCCCCCACAGAGGTACCCAGGGCTTCTCTCCAGGTTTTTTCATTTTCTTGTTTCTATTCCACTCACTTCTCCAACCCAAAGACATCCAGTCAGTGGTGAGTCAGTTGATCTGTCCATCTCACATTCCTTGGAGAAAGAGGAGTCTGAGAACCAGTATGTTTCATAGTCATGGTATATGAGTCCTTTGGCAGGAACTAAAATGTTGGCTATATCTAAGCTTTATGGAGAATTTGAGGAAGAAAAGACAGTGGTAGCAATGTACTGCGTAGCTGAGAGGGGAATGTTATTCATATAACCCTTTCCTTCCAGGTTGTAACTGAGCTTCAGTTTAATTCAGTAGATACTTGTTACTGTCATCCCATATGCCATGCACTGTGTTAGGAGCTTGGGTTTCAGCAAAAGTCAGTCCCTGCCTTCAAGGAGCTTACACTCTAGTGTTTTCATGAATATTTATTTTACTCAACTAGCCACTTCTGTGATTGTCAGAAAACTCCCTGCTTAACTAATGCTTTTTACCCCACTGAACAACAAGATGGAATTCGTTCTTTCTGGTCTGCATAACTGCCTATAGCAGCTGCCTTTGGCTTACAGGTGACAGCGATAACACTGTTGAAAGAAGAAGACTTTCCAGGTCTTGGCTGCCTGCTAGACAGAGAATTCCGGCCCCTTAGTCGACTGCTCGTGCTACTGGGCTGGACACACTGCCAGAGCCTAGAGTCAGCTAAAAGGCTGCTTCAGACACTCCACAGGACTCAGGTAACTCTCACTCTCCAGGCTGGGCTGCTCCAGAAAGGAGTGCTATGGGGCTTTGGGCTTAGGCAGAAGACAAGGTCCTGAAGTCAATCATAATCTCTGACCCCAGGTGCCTGAGTCAGCAACTCTTTCTTCTCCCTTATCAACACAGGATCTAGGCTGCGATGAGCTCCTCAGGGATGCCTGTGATGGGTTATGGGCTCACCTGGAAGTCCTGGAGTGGTGTGTACAGCAGAGCAGGTAAGGCCCTGTGTAGCCAGCTCCCTTATGCCCTTAGACAAGTTCCCATGTTTGAACTTCTGCTCCCCACGTGGGACCATTTCAAGACATCTTTCCCATAAATGTTTGGGTTGAGAATGTTGACTGGCAGCTAATAATTACTCCAGCAATTAAACTAGGAGGGAACTCTGGTGGCATAGTGCCTAAGGCATTTGACTGCTAACCAGAAGGCTGGCGGTTCAAACGCAGTAGCCACTCCTGGGAAGGAAGGTTGGGCGATCTACTTCCGTAGAGATACCACCTCAGAAACCCAAGGAGGGGTCGCTATGAGTCGAATCAACTCCATGGCAGTGACTTTGTTGCTTTAGTTTTAGTAAACTAGGAAAGAAATACAAGTAATGATGATTTTCCCCATAGCCAGAGGTACATCCTAAAGGTTGACAGTGATAAAAGGAACAAGAGCTCACATTTTCTGAGCACCTACTGTATGCCAGACATTGCTCTAAGCCCCTTACATGGGTGATTTCACTGAAGCCTCACAGTAAACCTATGGGGTAGATACCAGTATTATCCCTATTTTGAAGGTGGGGCAACTGAAACCCAGAGATGTTACATAACTTGCACCAAGTCACACAGCTAGTAAATATGGTCCACATTCTTAGCCATATGTTGTCCTGGATCATACTTTCAGTCAACAAATGCTTTTTGAGAAGTACGCCAGTCCTTGTGTTTCCCTGATAACTAGCCTTAGCTTAGGGTCTTCCAAAGATCTGAGTTCTTATTTTGTTCCTCACCCACCTCACCAGCACTTCCTGAAGTAGAGTGGACCAAGGGGGATGTTGTGAGGACCCTTTACTCAAACCAGAGAAGATTCTGTCAGTTTGAAACTAGAAGGACTGTAGAGATTAGGAAGCAAATTAAGCTTAATCTGCAGGCTTTTTCTAGACCCTGCTTACAAGAAAAGCCCTTTCTAGACAAGTGGAACTAAGATGATGGATGTCCTTCCTTTAGGATAAATATGTTATGCTCCTCCCAGACCAACAAAAATTTAGTGTTTGGGGAAGTGAAACCTGTGGTGTCATGGGCCAGAGAGAAGGGAAAAGAGGGAATGGAGATTGGTTTCTCAGAGCAATAATATAAACCACCTTCCCCTCCATCCTTCCAACTTTCTCTTTCAGCAACCCCATACCAAAGAGAGATCTCTTGTGTCATTTGCATGGTGGAGACAGCCACTCAGTGCTCTACTCTCTCCATCACCTCACAAACCTTCCAGCCCTCAGGGAGGAAGATGTTCTCAAGCTCTTAAAGAAGGTGCCAACCACGGACCCCAAGCAAGAGCATGGTGAGCTGGCAATGTAGTGGCTTTGGCAGGTTTCCCTCTTAGAAAAATCTTGCTCATGTGCACTTCTAGCATAAGATTTACCTAGATACGATTTCTGGAATTTATCAAGCTAGTAATCCAGTAGTTGTCCTCTAAAATAGCACTGTTGGCCCCATTCAGATTATGGCATGTAGGACCTTTTCTTCCCTTTCTTGGTGAGTTGAAGGAAGTCCCATGAACACAGAGTTAGGAACTGCCTCCTGAATTCACAGCATTGCCACTGTCAGTGTTTATGGAAATTCTGAGTGAGTCTGTCCATGCTTTACATTTTATGCCTTCTCTCCACCTTCCCATTTCTTCATACTCTATTGAACAGATAAAAAGGTTCAGAAGAAAGACTTGCCTGAAGCTATAGCATATGCCTTGTTTTAACTTTGGTTCTTTGCTTACAATTCAAGAACGCAGTACCAGGTTCGTTCTTACAGCTCTCAAAAATTGTATAGTGTATTCAGAGACATTTGCCTTTGAGAGAAACAAACTTTGTCACGTGGCAGCAGGGGCTTTTTAGCCTGGGTGTTGCTTTGATTTGCTTTGAAAAAGAACCTACCACTAATTGGAAAACCAGTGTTACTAATTTTATATTTTTTTTCTGGAAAGGTAGGCAGCTTGTCTAGCAGCTTTCCTAGAGGAACTAGAACTCCAGCTGCAAGTACAAAAGCCTTCCAAAGAAGATTTTTAAATCTGACCCCAGTTGACCCACCAGGATACACTTAGAATGTGAGCTCTGAAAAGGCAAAAGAGGAGCAGTTTTAGGACTGGGACTAGGGTGAAGCAAGGGAGGCATCTAAGGTGTAAATTTAAAGGAGGTATGTGCCCTCAGGGTTGTGCAAGCCCTTTCAAGTCCTGGTCCTGAGCAATAAAGCCTTGTAGAAGTCAGAGGCATAGAACAGTATTGATCTTGTTTAGTTAATTGCCTTGACCCTGGCAAGGCGGATAAACAGATTCATTACAACATAATACTAGCAAAACATATTGAACTACTCCAGTGTCTTGCAGTAGGGAATTTGGTTCAGTAAGCAACTGCATACCTATTCAGTGGAAATTTATGTAGCCATCAGAAATTCAGTTTATGAAGAAACATAATCAAATGTTTGTGTTTTAGTGGAGTTTTAAGAAATAGGAAAATTAAATTATACATAAAATGTCATTACATGTGGCTTCTAGCCAAACAATAGATAGGCATATGGGATGAACATTTACATCACGTATTACACTCCTTGGAGGGATCAATCTTGGGAGAACAGAAGGACACTATTTCCACAGGGAGACGGCTTAGGGGGTGAGAGTGTGTGGGAGGGAACGACACAGGGAAGAAGTAACAACGGAACTATTGGGAGGAAGTGGGCAGAGAGCTGTTACACTGTGGGGAACTGCAGCCAATGTCATGAAACAAAATGTGTATGGACTGCTGTATGGAATATAAATTTGCTCTAAAATTTCACCTGCATCACAATAAAAATTTAAAAATAAAATAAAATTCTTCCCTATGTAAAATAATAAGTTAATAAATAAAATGTCATTGCATCCAAGTTAAACACCCACAAACACCCAAAACTATAGAAAGGGATAAACCAGAATCTAACAGTAGTTATGTTCAGCAGATTGGATTATGAGTGGTTTTTTTTCTTCTTCTGCTTTTTGGTTTACTACATTTCATACTTTTTCTTTAATGAACAGGTGATAGTTTTGTTATGGAAAGAATTAGGGCCAGATTAAGACTTTTAGAAACACCTGTGCATTGTAAAGACAGGGTGCCCTCTGTCCCCATTGAAATTCAAAATTAAAAAGGAGGAATTCTAAATTGTAAGACAACTGAAAAGAATGTGAGCAGAGTTTGTAGTTTTTCCCATGAAGTCTGCTTCAGTGCTTCTGAAAAATATAAAATATTTAATTAAAAAAAATTTTTTTGGTGTCTTTGCACACTTGTAACTTGTCTGAACATTTTTTTTTTAATTGTGATTTGGGTGAAAGTTTACAGAGCAAATTCACTTTCCATACAGCAGTTCACATGTTCACATACACTTTGTCTCCTGACATTGACTACAATTTACCCAAATACAACAGCTCCCCTCCCACTTCCTCCTGACAGTCACCTCTTCCCTGTGTCCATCCCTCCATGCCCTCCTGCCCCCTGAGCTATCTCCATGAGCATAAACAACGCTTCTTTCTCCCATGATTGTTCTCTCCATGGAGTGTATCTACCTTGGGTAAATGTTCAACTCATATGCCTGTCTTTTGTTCGGCTGGAAGCCACAGGTGTGGGTTCAATTTGAGACCTGAAGGGCAGCTAGGGACCATAGTCTCAGTGATTCCACCAGGCTCTATCAGACCAGCAAACCTGGTCCTTTTTTTTTTTTTTCCAAATGATTTTGAGTTTTGTTCCACATTGTTCTCCCTCTCTATCCAGGATCTCCTACATAGATCCCCCTCCAAGTGGTTGACAGTGGTAGCCAGATACCATCTAGTTCTTCTGGTCTCATATTCATATAGGCTGCAGATCACATGGTGTACCAGTCGCTTGGACTAATTGTTTCCATGAATCTTTGGTTTTCTTCATTCTTCTTTACTCTGGATGAGGAGAGATCCGTCATTGCATCTAAATGGCTGCTTGCAGGCTTTTAAGATCCCAGTTGGTACTCGCCAAAGTAGGAGGTGGAACAATGTTTTGTGTAGTATGTTATGCCAATTGAGCTTGATATCCCCTGCGACTATGGTCCCAAGCCCACAGGTTCAACTACTCAGTCCCTCTGGGTAGCTGGCTGTGGCCAAGAAGTGACTACACCCTTGTCCCTTGTCAGCTCTACTATACACCTGGGAATTCTTACAGAACATACAAATACACTTATAGAAACATTGTCTCCCATCCCTATACATGTTCTTGGGTACACTTCCCCCTGCATAGACACACCTATTAGTTCAGCCTGTCCACTCATCTATCCACACATATACCCATGTTTGCCTTCACTGACAACACAGTACTGTATTTGCAAAAGGGTTCATCTTTGTTGTCTGCACCTCCCATGTACTTCTCTATGTCTTCCTCTTCCTCATTGCCACCATCTTGATCACTCACATTTGGTACATTCCCCTTCTCTTTACCCAAATCAATACTTATCTCTACCTATCTAACAGTGTTCCCTCCCCTCCCCTCCCACCCCTGGTAACCAACAAAATTTCCTTCCATATATAAACCTTTCCTTGACTTTTTAAAATAATGGACCAATACGATATTTGTCCTTCTGTGATTGACTTATTTCACTCAGCATAATGTCTTCCAAGTTCATCCACGTTATGTGGTGTTTTCCAGGTTCTACATTACTCTTTAGGGGTGCATAGTATTCCATTGTGTGTATGTACCGTGGTTTGGTTATCCATTCCTCAGCTGATGGACCCTTAGGTTGTTTCCATCTTTTGGCTATTGTAAATAGTGCTATGATGAATAGTGTACATGTCTGTTCTTGTCATGGCTCTCACTTCTTTAGGATATATACCTAATAATGGAATGGCTGGGTCAAACGGTATTTCTAATTACAACTTTTGAAGGAATTGCCATACTGCTTTCCACAGTGGTTGTACCATTTGACAGTCCCACCAGCAGTGTATGAGAGTCCCAATCTCTCCGCATCCTTACCAGCATTTGTTATTTTCTGTCTTGTTGAATTTTGCTACTAGTGCTGGGTCAAGACGGTATCTCATTGTTGTTTTGATTTGCATCTCATTAATGGCTAATGATCATGAGCAGTTCTTCATATGTTTGTTGGCTACCTGAATATCCTCTTTGGTGAAGTGTCTATTCGTGTCTTTTCCCCATTTTTTAATTGGATTATTTGTCTTTTTGTTGTTGAGATGTTGGAGTTTTCTAGAAATTTTAGAGTTAAGTCCATTGTCAGATATGTCATTGCCGAATATTTTTTCCCAATCTGTAGGTTCTCTTTTGACTCTTTTGCAGAAGTCTTTGGAAGCACATAAAAATTTAATTTTTAGAAGGTCCCATTCATCTAGTTTATCTTCTGGTGTTTGTATATTTTGGGTTATGCTTGATAGTCTCTTTATGCCATATATTAGGCCCCCTAAATTTGCCCCTAGTTTTTTCTTGAGGAACTTTATAGTTTTGTTGTTGTTGTTATGTGCCGTCGAGTCGGACCCAACTCATAGCTACCCCTCCTTAGGTTTCCAAGGCAGTATCACTACAGAAGTAGACTGCCCAACCTTCCTTCCAAGGAGTGGCTGGTGGGTTTGAACCACCAGACTTCATGGTTAGAAGTCAAGTGCCTTAGGCACTATGCTACCAGAGCTCCTTTATAGTTTTAGGTTTCACGTTAAAGTCTTTGATCCATTCGGAGTTAATTTTTGTGTATGGTGTGAGGTACAGATCTTGTTTCATTTTTCTACAAATGGATATCCAGTTTTGCCAGCACCATTTACTAAACAAACATTCTCTTCCCCATTTAATGTATTTTGGCCATTTGTCAAAGATCAGCTGACCATGGGTCAATGGATCTATTTCTGGGTTCTCAATTCTATTTCATTGGTCTGTGTGTCATCATTGTACCAATACCTGGCAGTTTTGACTACTGTGGCTGTATAGGAGGTTTTGAGATCCGGCAGTGTGAGACCTCCTACTTTGTTCTTCTTCGATAGTGCTTTGTTTATCCGAGGTCTCTTTTGTCTGAACATATTTTAAGCTTGCATTTTGGCACTAGGTAGACTAAACATTTACTTTGATTTTTAAATTTTAAACAATGAAAGAAATGTATTTTAAGGAATATAAGTGAGTGGGAAAATCACATTCCCACTTTTTACTTCTTTGCCACTTCTGTTCTAACACCAGCTACACATGCAGCACTTCTCCCTCTGACTCTATCCACTGTTGATAGGTCAGCACTCACAAGTTAAGGAGCATAGTCCTCCAGACTGCCATGTCTGCCCAAGGCTTCAGATGCCAGCTGCAAGCTTGGGAGTCCCCACAGCACCCTCACTTCTGACCTGCTAGCTACAAATTTGAGAGTTCCCTCTACCCCTTCAGGATACCAGCCAGAAGATTAGGGAAATTCCAGTCCCCTTCGCTTCTGACCTGCTTACTTCTGTTACTACCTTGAGTTTCATAATTTGTTAGAATGACTCACAGAATTCACAGAAGATACTGTAATTATTTCTACAGTTTTATTATATAAAAAAGGATACAAATAAAGTCTGCAGAGGGTGAAGTCTGGGAGGGTTCCCAATAAATAGCCTCCATGTCTCAAAATGGAGTATCCTATTTTTCTAAGTGTTATGTCTTTTGCCAGCCAGGAAGCTCATGGAGCTTCTGTGTCCAGAGCCTTTATTGTGGCTTCTTTACGTAGTCAAAAATGTCAAAAATGACCAAATTATGTGTCCCTACCCCTCCTGTCCTCCTTATTCCTGAACTCTGCTGACATCACTGGTGGTCTTTCTCTCCTGGCCCACCTGAGTCATTTCATTAGCATGAACCCTCAAGTATGCTCTGGCAGCCTCATCAAAGACACTTAGATCAATCACTAGGTAAATTCCGAGATTTAGATGTTATCTCTTAGGAACCAAGGACAAAATCCAGATTCTCTGGTAAAGTTAACCCCACAGTGAGGAAACAACTTGTTGAATGGCCAAGGGGCCTATGTTGAATATGTAGAGATCAAGGGGGAAAAGAAATGGAAGGAACTGAAAGTTTTTGTTGCCAAGGAATGCCTGGAAGGAAAGCACATCAAACGGACAGAAGGGAGCGAGGGTAATAACACTTAGTGTGTGCATGGGAGCAGCATCTCTTTGCTTCATCCATACTTGCAGCCCATGCATGGAAGTTCTGCCTGTTTCTCTCTACAATTCAGGTTCAGCTGATGCCCCAGTCCCTGACCACCTGGGCCGGTGTCAGAGCCTGACCCTCTACCAGGGCTTCTGTGCCATGAAGTATGCCATCTATGCCCTCTGCGTGAATTCACATCAGCACACACAGTGCCAGGACTGCAGAGAGGATCCTTCTGAGGACCTGGCCTCTGCCACGGAGCCAGTGAATGACGGAGTCTCCTCCCCAGGTGTGGCTCTTCCACTTCTCTCTGGTATAAGCTCCCTGGTAACAACCTCTCCCAGTGAGTTCTTAGCATGATAGTCCTTACCCACCAGGATCCACGGTGGGCTTGATTTTATTATGCCCAGGAATAATTTCATCCATTTACCAGCCTTTGCAAGTCAAAGGTGTATAGAAAAAGCAAGTGATTTGCCCAAGTTATAATAGTGTTTGATTATCTAGTATAGTATTTCCTGATCCCTTTCTTTTTTTTTTTTTAACTACAGTAAAAAAACATTTCATATCACACTACAGCTTCACCTAGATACTATATAATTTGAGTGTATGTATTTATATGTTTGTGCCTTCATATGTGATGTGTAAACAAATCAAGTTTTAAGAAACAAGACTTACCATTCCAAATGAAGCATATTCTTAATTATTTTTTTGTTCTATTTCATTTTATTGTATTAATTTCATTGTTCTCAGCCTACAGTGTGAAAAATACCAACCTAATGTCCTATTTTCTCTCATTTTTCTTAATAACTTATAATTCCATATCTTGCCTTCTGTGACTTGTGGTCAGTTATCTCTCTCTTCTGGCTTTGAACTAGACCTTCACCTTTGAGAATGGTCATGTTTCACCTAGTGAGTATTTCTTAAAGGATCTAGCAAGCCAGTGATAAGCTTTAAAGTATCAATGAGTGAAAATAGACAGATGCTAATAACAACCAGTGTGCCCACAATGCTGCATTACCATTAACACCAAACACCAGGCTACAAAAAGATAAAAAGAAAAAGAAAAAAAAAATTAAGGAGTAAGGCGTCTCTGTGCTACCTTCATTCCAGGATATGGAATATGTAGTACTTGCCAGAAGTGAGCAATAATGTATTATTAAACAAGTTGAGACAAAATAATGAGTGTTTGGTCAGCTGTACTTTTAGTTAAGGTAGTGAAAGTTTTCTGCAAAGAGACATGGCTGACCAGTCCCTGGGCTCTAGTCTTTTTCTTATTCATCTGACTGTAACCCAGTAAGTACCCTTAGCCATTATACAATATACATAAATTAAAGTTGTGAGAATGTTTGAATCTAGCAAGTAATGTTTCTAACATTTGCATTCTCTCTTTTCTTGTCTTTCTCCGACCTCTTCTCTTATACATGCTGTGTTAGGTGCTTCAAATCTCTTCTCAACATACCTGGCCAAGTGTCAGCAGTATCTGCGCAGTATTCCTGACTCTTTGTGCCTGGAACTTCTGGAAAACATCTTCTCGTTGCTCCTTCTCACTTCTGCTGATCTTCATCCAGAGCCTCACCTGCCTGAGGACTATGCTGAGGATGATGACATTGAGGGGAAGGGATCCTTGGGTTTGAGATCCCCATCAGAGAGCCCTCAGCACATGGCTCAGCCCAAGAGGAAATCAGAACAGGATTCCTCCAGGACCCCTGCTTATATACTTCCAAGCTGTCCGAAGACAGAGCCAAAAGACAGTTACCCAGGGCCTCACAGGCATAGCTTTTTGGATTTAAAGCACTTAAGTAGTCGTATCAATGGATTCCTGGCTGATGAGTTTGCAATGGGGGCCTTCCTCAGGCTTCTCCAGGAGCAGCTGGATGAGATCAACAGCCACAACCCCCCTGAGAAGCCAAAGCTGCTGGAGAGCCAGAGCTGCTTGAGTAGCAGAGATGGGCTGCAGAGCCGCCTGCACCGGTTTTCCAAGGTTCTCTCTGAGGCCCAGTGGAGAAACAAGGTGGTGACAAGCAACCAGCGCTCAGGTGAGAACAGAGCAGGTGGGTCTGGACAGTGGGGGAACAAACCCCACCAGGAGCATAGGAGAAAGCTAGGAGTGCATGGGAGTCACCCCATAACTGAAGGCATATCAGCATAGCAACAAGTGTCAGGGTCCTTAACTTAGAACCCAGTCCAAGGCTTCTCCTTTCTTCCTGTTACTCCTGGATGAGGGTCAAATCAAAGTCAATCACTCTCCTGTATGATCTCACAGGGTTTGCTGTTTCAGAAGAGCATCTGACACTCTCCCGAAGATACCGACCCATGGCCACACAGCACCCCAGTGTCCGCCGGCGTCGTCGGACAAGAAGGATCCGGGCAGGTAAGCAGAAGTGTTTTCTATTCACATCTTGTCTTCATGCACCAGGCAATTGATATATTGTCACCTATCTAATATTTTTTTAACATAAAGCACACAATCAAAACAAACAAAAGTGATCTAAGATTATCCTAGACCCACTTCCCCAAGGTAACCCCTGTTAATAGTTTCTTATATATCCTTCCAAAAAATTTTAAAGCAATGCAACAAACATATATCTTTTCATATATATAGATACATCATACTGTATATCTGTTGAGAACTGCAACTTGGTCTTTCAGTTTTATCCTTTAATATATATAGATGTCTCATACTATACACTGAGAACTCACTTGTTCTCTGATCGTTTTAAAGGCCACTTGGCATTCCATCATCATATATGCCCTGTTAATATAGACATTTAAGTTGTTTACAGTTTTTTTTTCCTAGTATAAACAATGTTATAATAAACAACCTTCTACATACCTGTTAATACTCACTTGAGTACATCCATCTGGAGGATGTGTTTCTAGCAGTCAAATTGTTAGGGAAAGATTTATGGATATAAAGTATAGATGTTGTATATATACAATGTTGTATAGATACAATGAATAGTATCAAATTTTAAATATCTTTTCCAATGCAAGTTGGTGAAGAATAGTACATTATTCTTTTAATAGTAATTTATTTTTTAATTTGATTGAGATTGTCTTTTTATGTATTTTTTGGCCATTAATACTTTTCTGTGAGCTACCCATTCCTGACGGTGGCGGGATCCAGGTAAGGGGAAGGCAGAGAGGTTTCAAACAGCGAAGGGAGATGAACTTGTCTGTCAGTTTGTCTTACTTTGGTTGCTTGCGTGTTGCTGTGAGACTGAAGGCTGTGCCACTGGTGTTTCAAACACCAGCAGGGTTGCACACAGTGCACAGGTTTTAACGCAGCCTGCAGACTGAGACAGACTTGGAAGAAGGAAGAGGTCACTCACTTCTCAAAGAATTGACCATGAAAACCTTATGTATATAATACAGAAACACTGTCTGATACATTACTGGAACAACTTTATGAACAGCCCAGAAACATTGTCCGATACAGTGCTGGAAGATGAACACCATAGGTTGGAAGGTGCTCCAAAGATGACTGGGAAAGAGCTGCCTCATCAGAGTACAACCAGCCTTAATGATATGGATAAAGCAAAGCTTTCGGGACTCCATTTGCTGACATAACATGACTCAAATTGAGGAGAAATAATTGCAAGTATCCATCAATAATCAGAACATGGAATGTATGAAGTATGAGTCTGGAAAAATTGGAAGTTGTCAAAAATGAAATCGAACACATAAAGATTGATATCGTAGGCATTAGTGAGCTGAAATGGACTGGTTTTGGCCATTTTGAATCAGACAGTCGTATGATCTCCTATGCTGGGAATGACAATTTGAAGAGGAATGGAGTGGCATTCATCATTTACAAAGGATGTTTCAGGATCTGTCCTAAACTACAGTGCTGTCAGTGATAGGATAATAGCGACACGCCTACAAGGAAAACCAGTTAATACTACTATTATTCAAATTTACGCACCAACCACCAAAGTGAAAGATGAGGAAACTGAGATTTTTTATCAACTTCTGCAGTCTGAAATTGACCAAAAATGGAACCAAGATGTGTTAATTATCACTGGTGACTGGAATGCAAAAGTTAGAAACAAAGAAGAATCACTGATAGATGGAAAATTTGGCCTTGGCTACAGAAATAATGCTGGAGATAGCATGATAGAACTTTGCAAGTCCAAGACTTAGTCATTGCAAATATCTTTTTTCAACAACACAAATGGCGACTATACACGTGGACTTCACCAGATGGAGTACACAGGAATCAGATTGACTACGTCTGTGGTAAGAGGTGATGGAGAAGCTCAGTATCTTCAGCTGAAACAAGTCCAGGAGCTGATTGTGGAACAGACCATCAACTGCTCATATGAAAGTTCAAATTGAAGTTGAAGACAATTAAAACAAGTCCATGAGAACCAAAATGTGACCTTGAATATATCCCTCCTGAATTTAGAGACCATCTGAAGAATAGATTTGATGCATTGAACACCAATGACCAAAAACCAGAGGAATTGTGGGATGACCTCAAGAACATCATCCATGAACAAAGCAAAAAAGTCATTCAAAAGACAGGAATGGAAGAAAAGACCAAAATGGATGTCAGAAGAGACTCTGAAACTTGCCCTTGAATGGAGAGTAGCCAAAGCAAATGGAAGCAATGACATGATAAAGGAGCTGAACAGAAGATTTCAAAGAGCAGCTCCAAAAGACAGAGTCACTAATTATAATGAAATGTGCAAAGACCTGGAGTTAGAAAACCAGAAGGGAAGAACACACTCAGCATTTCTCAAGCTGAAAGAACTGAAGAAAAAATTCAGGCCTCAAATTGCAATATTGAAAGATTCTATGGGCAAAATACTGAATGATGCAGGAATCATCAAAAGAAGATGGAAGGAAAACAAAGTCATTGTACCAAAAAGAATTGGTCAATCTTCATCCATTTCAGGAGGTGGCATATGATCGAGAACCAGTTGGTATTGAAGGAAGAAGTTGAAACTGCATTAAAGGAAGTGGCAATAAACAAGGCTCCAGGAATTGACAGAATACCCATTGAGATGTTTCAACAAATGGATGCCCTGCTGGAGGCACTCACTTGGTTATGCCAAGAGATTTGAAAGACAGCTTCTTGGCCAACTGACTGGAAGAGATCCATATTTGTACCCATCCCAAAGAAAGGTGATCCCACAGAATGTGGAAATTATTGAACAATATCATTAATATCACACATAAGTAAAATCTTACTGAAGATAATTCAGAAACAGCTGCAGCAGTATATTGACAGAGAACTTCCAGAAATGCAAGCTGGATTCAGAAGAAGATGTGGAACAAGGGATATCATTGGTGATGTCAGATGGATCTTGGCTCAGAGCAAAGAATACCAAAAAGATGTTTACTTGTATTTTATTGACTATACAAAAGCATTTGAATGTGTGTATCATAACAAATTATGGATAACATTGACAAGAATGAGAATTCCAGAACACTTAATTGTACTCATGAGGAACCTGTACATAGACCAGAAGGCTGTCATGCGAACAGAACAAGGGGTTGACTGCATGGTTTAAAATCAAGAAGGTAGTGCACCGGGTTGTATCCTTTCCCCATACTTATTCAATCTGTGTGCTGAGCAAATAATCCAAGAAGCTGGACTATAAGAAGAAGAATGTGGCATCAGGATTGGAAGAAGAATCCTTAATAACCTGCAATATGCTGATGACACAATTTTGCTTGCTGAAAGTGAGGATGACTTGAAGCACTTACTGATGAAGATTGAGGAACACAGTCTGCATATGGATTACATCTCAATACAAAGAAAACAAAAATCCTCACAACTAAATGGAGAAAAGATTGAAGTCGTCAAAGACTTCATATTGCTTGGTTCTACAATCGACGCCAATGAAAGCAGCAGTCAGGACATCAGACAATGTATGTTGTTGTTGTTATGTACCGTCGAGTTGTACCCAACTCATAGTGACCCCTCCTTGGGTTTCCGAGGCAGTATCACTACGGAAGTAGATTGCCCCATCTTCCAAGGAGTGGCTGGTGGGTTTGAACCGCCAGCTTTCTGGTTAGCAGTCAAGTGGCTTAGGCACTATGCTACCAGAGCTCCGAGACAATGTATAGCACTGGGCAAATCAGCTGCAAAGGACTTCTTTCAAGTGCTGAAGAGCAAAGATGTCTCCTTGAGGACTAAGGTGTGCCTGACACAAACATGATATTTTCAGTTGCCCCATATGCAAGTAAGAGCTGGACAATGAATAAGAAGAGTCAGTGCTTTTGAGTTGTGGTGCTGGCGAAGAATGCTGAAAGTACTGTGGACTGCTCAAAGAACTAACAGATCTGTCCTGGAGGAAGTGCAGCTGGAATGCTCCTTGGAAGCAGGAATGGCCAGACTTCGTCTCACCTACTTTGGTCATGTCAGAAGGGACCATTCCCTGGAGAAAGATGTCATGTTTGGTAAGGTAGAGGGTCAACGAGAGAGGGGATGGGCCCTCAAGGAGATGGATTGACACGGTGGCTGTGGCAGTGGGCTCAAGTATAGCCAGGATCCTGGAGCTGGTGTGGGACCGGGCAGTGTTTCTCTCTGCTGTGCATGGGGTCGCTGTGAGTTGGAGACGACTCTATGACACCTAACAATAACACAACCCATTCATAGGAGATCTGGTGGCGTAATGCCTAAGACACTTGACTGCTAACCAGAAGGCGGTTCAAACCCACCAGCCACTCCTCAGAAGGAAGGTTGGCATTCATATTTAAGATCCATTTTTCCTTTGGTTTCATTGTTCTTGTTGAATTTTAAGATACTCTTTATGTTAAGGAAAATATTTTCTGCTTATGTGCTACAATTTTTTTTTTCATTTTTGTCTTTTGACTTTTCATAAATTGTTCTTAGAGGGGTTTAAATCAGAAATATTACACAGAAGTATTAAATGTTTAGATACTCAAATTTCCATTACAAAATTTAAATACTAAAAAATTTATTAAAATAATTAAAATGTAACATCAAAAAGCATAGTTAATAAGAAATTACTTATTAATTAACATAGGAATTAATAAGGATTTCCTATGTGCTAAATGGAAGGAACCCTGATGGCACAGTGCTTTAGTGCTCAGCTGCTGACTGAAACGTCAGCAGTTCAAACTCAGCTTCTTGTAGGAAAAAGATGTGGCAGTCTGCTTCCATAAAGATTACAGCTTTGGAAACTCTGTGGGGCAGTTTTACTCTGTTCTGTAGGGTTGCCATGAGTGGGAATCAACTCAGTGGCAATGAGTATGTGCTAAACTGAAATAGATGTTTTGAACTAGGTGAATAAGGCATAAATCAGGCCTTTACCCTCAAGTAATTCAAATTACTACATTGTTGTTGTTGTTATGTGCCGTCGGGTCGGCCCCGACTCATAGCGACCCCTCCTTGGGTTTCCAAGGTGGTATCACTATGGAAGTAGATTGCCCAACCTTCCTTCCAACGAGTGGCTGGTGGGTTTGAACCACCAGCCTTCTGGTTAGCAGTCAAGTGCCTTAGGCACTACGCTACCAGAGCTCTCAAATTACTACATAGACAATATATATTTAAAAAAAAAAAAAAAAAACTGAATGGAGGCACTGCCTGAAAAGCAGAAGAAAGCTCTTAAAAGGAGAGATCAGCATGTTCTACAAAAGTCAGGGAAACAGCCCTAATGAAGGAGCTGACTCATGACCTATGAGTCAGCCAGCAGCCAAATGCTTTAACCAGTAAGCCACCAATTTTCAAACTACCTAGATCTTGACTTTCAAGCCAACTTTATATGTTCTACATTGTCAGAGTTGATGATTGATTTTTTCTCATCTTTTTTTATCTCTAGATGGCCGGGACAGAGGTTCCAACCCATCCCTGGAAGGTACAAGTAGTGAGCTGAGCACAAGTACTTCAGGTATGGGTGCTCCAAACAGTTGCCAACTTCAAGCAGTTTTGCCCTGACATAGTGTTGCCATACACTGTGTTATAAAAACCAGGACTGGACAGTTCATCCTGTGTTTAAGAAAGTTGGCTTTGCACATGGCCAAGCAAATTTCAGCTGGGAAAAGGGAAATAGCTCTTTCATTATCAGTCAAGTTACACCTCAGCAGAGAGAAACAGATGAATGCCCAAGGAAGGTCACAGTACTGTCTTCTATTCAAAGAGGATAGCATTGGTTTGCTCTTTCCTTGAGGAAGACCCATCTGCAGACCTTTTGGAATAGGGGGCTTTGATCAGATAAGAGTTTGGTGGGAGGTGAGAGCAGTATAATTTTTCCTCAATTCATGTTGCTTTCCTGGCCTTCTACATTCTTGTTTCCCAACAGAAGGGAGTCTGAGCACTGTGTCTGGGAGAAGCGAGCTGGATGGCCGGCTGCAGCCCCAGCCTCATAGTTCACTCATTCCCATGATGTTCTCCCCACCTGAATCACTGCTGGCATCCTGCATCCTCCGGGGAAACTTTGCAGAAGCCCATCAGGTAAGGAGAATACTTGTGTTGACATGTTATGAGCTGCGAGTATGGGAGATCCTAGGTCATACCTTGTCACAGTAAAGAGTGGTAAGTCAGCCCGTAGCTGGCTGTTGCCCAGGAGGCCTCACGTGAAGCTATGGCACATGTGCAATCAGAACTAATCAGGAGCACTTGGGTGGCCACATCCCAGCAGGAGAAGCAGAAGGGAGTTTCCACGTATGGCCCTGTCTCAGTGCTGTGGATATAGGGACCCAGCCTGAAGGAGATTCAAGATGTTGAATTGTGTTATGTTCTTTAAACATAAGCAGTGTTTTAAAAGGTAAAAGAAAATATTCAGCCACAATCCCTTTAAAAAAACTAAAATATGTTTGTTTCTTTCTTCATACTTCTCTGAATACATGTGTTTTTATGTGGTTAAAAATCATGGTGCAATTTTCAATAATAAATAGAATATCAGTTCATTATACAAAAAGTATTGGGAACTAGCAAACTCAAATATTCCTGTGGTATAGGGAAAATAGCACTGGAATAGAATCAGAAAGACTTGCTCCCTCTAAGCTTTAATATCCTTACTTGTAAATTGCAGTTAAATATAATACCTGATTTTCCTACCTCATGGGAATGTTTAGAGAATTATATAAAGCCTGAGAAATGCAAGAATCTTTTATTGCTGAAATTTAATAGCGTAGACATCTATTCTTATGTTTAAAACTTCCTTGGTACATGTTATGATACGTGCTGGTCCCTTAACATGTGGGTTGGAATTTTTCTTTCTTATGAATTTAATTATTGAAGAGTAATTCTAGGAGAAATCTAGGTGATGAGATAATTTTTTGCTTAGCTCCCTGCTGTCATTTTAAATCCTATACTTTAATGATAAATGATCATTGTGATTCTCTAGGGATTGGACCCTCAGCAGCCTATCTTATGTCCAAGTCCAGAGGAAGTAGGTAAAGAGTCCTCTGACACATCCTCTGTCCTCCTCCAGCTTCACAAGGGGAAGACAGAACTACCATCAGCAGCCCAAGGCTTATTCCTGTGAGGCCAGACATGCCGCCACCCTCCAGCCTTTTTTGGTACCAACTCTGGTACCAACCGTCCCTCCCACAGTACTCACTACTCTGCTGGGCTCGATAATTCATTGCAATAGCCACACAGAACTCACACACAATACTCATGATTATGGGGTTTGCTAGGGAAGTAACAGGTACAATTCAGGTTGAGGAATGAGCTCAGGATACACTTCTTCGATGAGGACAATCTCTCCTCAGCTCTGCCTTTAGGCACACCTCTCTGGCCCTTGGCCTCGGTCTGGCCTCTGCCCTGCTTGGGCAAGTATCACAAAGCTCTTTTAGCTCTGCCAATAGGTATACCCAGGTGCACCCCACTTGGCCAGGAAAACCTGATGCTCTGCCTTGTGCTTCTTGGTTCCTCTGCCAGTTGTCTCAACCAGTTGTCTCTACTGTCTTTCTGTGAAGGAAGTCCAGCTCAGGGATCTCTGATCCGAGGCGATCTTGGGTTCAAAGAAGCACTCCATTCCGACCCTGGTTTTCTTTCGATGGCAGTAAGATCTCCCCTTCTGCCTCTAGAAGGGCTCATTTTAAGCCTAGCAGAATGACAAAACTAACCAGTCCCCACAGTCGAGTTCCCTACACCATGTTTGCATAGTTCCACCCGTAATCTGATGGGAGTCACAAAGACCATGGCTGGAAAAGCCAAACTAAGTAATACACTGTACCACAGATGCTTTACTCCTCAGTGTCCTCCAGTCCTCATCTTTTTTTAAACTTTCTTTTTGACCTTGATTGCAGAATAAGTACTGCATATTATAAGAAAATAGCAAAATATATAAACAAGAAAATAACGTTACTTTTAACCTATTATCTAGAATAATCATTACTAAAGATGTGTGTTTTTTGGTGAAGGAGCCATGGTGGTGCAATGATGAAGCACTTGGCTGCTAACCAGAAGAGCGTGGTTCGAACCCACCAGCAGCTCTGCAGGAGAAAAGACCTGGTCATCTGTTCCCATGAAGGTTACAGCCTTGGACACCCTGTGAGGGAGTTCTTCTCTGTCTTATAGGATTGCTATGAGTTGGAATTGACGTGATGGCACACAACAACATATATTTTGTTCATCTTGTTCCAAGCCAGATATGACTTTTCATGTACCTGAGAATATTCTGAATTTAAAACTTTATGACTGTAATGGTTATGTTTGTGTGTCAACTTGGCTGGGCCTGGTTGAGTGGCTGGGCAGCTGATGGTAGTTATTCCCCATGATGAGACTGGCAATCAACTCCATGGTGGGATCTACGACAAGCAGCTGAGTAGCTGCTTCGGGTATGTGGTCTGCTTCCCGTATATAAGAAGCAGCTTTGGGTATGGTCTCTAGCTTATGGCATCTTGAACCCTGTAGGTAGCTGTGTTGTTCAGCAGCCTGCCATGCTCTGCCAACCTTGGGACTTAAAATGGACTTGAATTAATGGCCTGCCGTGTGATTTGGTAATATCAGGACTGTACCTTTTTACCTTTACTGGCAGCCTCATCAGCCAGCAGCTGTCTGAGTGAGAAAAAGCCTCCAGCTTCAATGGGCTGGAAGCTGGAGCCAGAGCTAAAGTCCAAGGCTGAGGGGCTTTCACCCAGCCCCTAGAGCCTGGCACTTTGAACTTGGACTTAAAGCCTCCAAACTGTAAGAGAATAAACTCCTGTTTGTTAAGGACATCCCATTTGTGGTATATTCCTGTCAGAGCGGCACTAGGTAACCAGAACAATAACCTTCCTTTTTTACGTTATAATACAAGCCTTAGCCTTGGAACTTTGATTCTAGTGACCTTAATCACTTAATTACTCACAGGTTGATCAAGTGGCTGCCCTTAACCATTCTCCTGTTGCTAAACATTTAGATTGTTTCAACCTTGTAATAAAGAGTGCCAGAATGATCAGCTTTAATCATTAAGCCTTTTGAACTATTTTTTTAAGAAAATTTCTCATAAAAATGACTGGGTCAAAGGATAAAAACATTTTTAAAGCTTTACAAATTGTCATATTCCTTTTTCAAAATAGGCTGTAGCAGTTAATTCCACCACTGCTCCCAGAGAGTTTTATTTTCACTTTATTATTGTGATGGATACAAAATGGTATTGATGGTCTTTAAATTCCTTGGATTGCTGGTGAGGGAAAACATTTTCTCATGTGCATTGTTGTTGTGTGCCATCACGTTTCTGAGGCTGTAATCATTATGGCAGCAGCTGGTAAGTCTGAACCTCCAGCCTTTTGGTTAGCATCTGAGCACTTAACCATTGAACCACTAGGTTCTTTTATCTATGTGTTGTTGTTGTTGTTGTTATGTGCCATCGAGTCGGACCCGACTCATAGCGACCCCTCCTTGGGTTTCTGAGGCAGTATCACTATGGAAGTAGATTGCCCCATCTTCCTTCCGGGGAGTGGCTGGTGGGTTTGAACCGCCAGCCTTCTGGTTAGCAGTTAAGTGCCTTAGCCACTATGCTACCAGAGCTCCCATCTATGTGTTAGTCATAGGTATTTCCTCTCTTAAATTGTCCACATCTTTTTTCTATTTCCTACTGGGCCTTTAGTGGTTGTCTTGCTAACTTTTATGGCTTCTTTTCTTTTCTTTTAATTTTTATTGTGATTTGAGTGAAAGTTTACAGAGCAAATTCACTTTCCATACAGCAGCTCACATACACTTTGTCTCATGACATTGATTCCAATTTCCCACAGTGCAACAGCTCCCCTCCCACTTCCTCTTCATAATTACCTCTTCCCTGTGTCCTTCCCTCCCATGCACTCCTGCCCCCTGAGCTGTCTCCCTGTGCATACATAGCCCTTCTGTTCTCCCATGACTGATCTCTCCAAGGAGTGTATCTATGTAATGTAATTGTTCAGCTCATATGCCTGTCTTTTGTTTGGCTAGAAGCCACAGGAGTGGGTTCAATTCCAAACCTGAAGGGCAGCTAGGGGCCATAGTCTCAGGGGTTTCACCAGGCTCTATCAGACCAATAAATCTGGTCCCCCCACCCTTTTTTTAAATTGTGATTTGGGTGAAAAATTTACAGCGCAAATACACTTGCCATACAGCAGTTCACATACACTTTGTCTCATGACATTGACCACAATTTACCATAATGCAACAGCTCCCCTCCCACTTCCTCCCAATAGTTACCTCTTCCCTGTGTCCATCCCTCCATGCACTCCTGCCCCCTGAGCTGTCTGCCTGTGCCTGAGCCCTTCTTTCTCTCATGCTTATTCTCTCCAAGGAGTATATCGACCTCAGGTAAATGCTCAACTGATATGCCTGTATATTGTTTGGCTGGAAGCCACCGGTGTACATTCAATTCCAGACCTGAAGGGCAGCTAGGGGCCATTTTATGATTTTGAGTTTTGTTTCACATTGTTCTCCCACTCTATCTAGAATCTCCTACATAGATTCCCCTCCAACTGGTTGATAGTGGTAGCCAGGCACCATCTAGTTCTGGTCTCATAGTCATATATGCTGAGGATCGCATGGTGTACCAATCGCTTGGACTAATTGTTTCCGTGTGTCTTTGGTTTTCTTCATTCTTCTTTGCTCTGGATGAGGAGAGACCCATAGTTGCATCTAGATGGCAGCTTTTAAGCTTTTAAGGTCCCAGTCACTACTTGCCAAAGTAGGATGTGGAACAGTGTTTTTGTGTAGTATGTTATGCCAATTGAGCTTGATGTCCTCTGCAATATAGTTTATTTTTATATTTGATCTGTTCTCCTGATATTCAGCACTCTCCAGACCCTACAAACAGGTGGCTTAGGACCATAGTCTAATGATTGGAAAGATCCTACACTTGTAGACATTCCTCCAACTCAGTGGGCACACCACAGGCCAACCCACACTTCTCTCTCTCCCATGGCAGGTGGTGTTCATGTTCAACCTGAAGTCCTCGCCCAGCTCAGGAGAACTGATGTTCATGGAGCGCTACCAGGAAGTGATCCAGGAGCTGGCCCGAGTAGAGCACAAGATTGAAAACCAGAACTCAAATGGGGGCAGCAGCACCATTCGAAGAACTGGCAGTGGCCGCTCAACTCTGCAGGCCATTGGCAGCGCTGCGGCAGCAGGTCAGGCTTTCCTGGTGCCACTGTAGGTGGTGAGATAGCAGGGATGGAGGTGTAAGGAGAGAAATCACCTAAGTCATACGCTTGCCATGATGGTGAGTGTAAATCCGAAGGAGGAGACTTACTCTGAAGAAGTGGAATCTTTTCACAGTCATAGTAGTTTTCTAGCTATACCCAGCCTCCTTGACCATGGTGTTCACATACCTGCCACTTGTCCTGTGTGACTTAACTGATGAACATGAATGTGATTTTGACCAGTCTGTAGGGTCTGGAGAGTGCTGAATATTAGGAGAATAGATCAAATGTAAAACTAAACTGTTACAGAGGACATCAAGCTCAATTGGCATAACATACTGGGCTTCAGGAAATGGTTAGGATTTTATTTCCTTCCCATGTAATTATTCAGAGATAAAGCATATTATTTTACTTCCCTGTAAAGAAATTATGTATTAATGTCTATGCCCTGAGAGTCACAGTCTCAATTTCCAACCTTGGCTCTCCTGTAAAAAAAACCTTATCCTTTCATTATATTTTGAAAGTGGAATCTTGTCACACATTTTCACATCTCTTACTTGTCTAGGCTCTGTATATTAAGTTTACTATCACATGTTGCTCCTGCTATTCCTCTAGAAATTTCCTTTGTCTATTCTAGAGAATATATTCACCTCTTCTTGTTTTTGATATAAATGGGCTCTTCCTACAAGTACATTTGTCTGCCATGCCTTTTTTTTTTTAAACAAAGAAGAAGGATAGGTAATTGAAAAATATGGTCTTGGTGATAGAAATGATATTGGAAACTGCATGATAGAATTTTGCAAGACCAACAACCAATTCATTTCAGAGAGCCTTTTTCAACAACATAAACAGCAACTACACACATGGGCCTTGCCAGATGGAATACACAGGAATCAAAAGAGGCGATGGAGCAGCTTGATAGTATCAGTCAGAAAAAGGCCAGGGTCTGACTGTGGTACAGACCATCAATTGCTCATAAATAAATTCCAGTTAAGGAAAGAGACCTCGGATAAGCAAAGCACTACTGAAGAAGAAAAACAAAGTAGGAGGTCTCACATTGCCGGATCTCAAAACCTACTATA